TATATATATATATATTAATAATAATAGAAATAATAGAAAAAATCTCTAAAGTTTCTTTGATAATACATGCATAATCACATATAAATTATAATTATCTATAATTTAACTAGAACTTACTACATATATATATTAATATGGGAAATAATAATAGAAAAAATCTCTAAAGTTTCTTTGATAATACATGCATAATCACATATAAATTATAATTATCTATAATTTAACTAGCTATAATTTAACTTACTACGAAAATCTATTTAGGAATTATTTGATAAGAAATATCAATTAAGGTCTGATCTTACACTTTTCAGCTCAGCCCTCGTGTTAAAAAAACACAGCTATATACAAGACCAAAGGACGTAAAATTTGCGGTTGGTATGATAGTGACATATCAACCTACAGATTGTGCCGGCCTAATAGTAGGATGGCACCGACATCTTGATAGACATCTTGTTATATTCTCCGCAAAGAGTGTGCCGAGTCCTTATATGCACATATATGAACTGCCGTTGAATCACTGTCGTAATTGTAATTTTATAGAGAAACAAACAAATTACATAATTCTTACCGGAAATAATAAAATGTTTTATGTGGAAGAAAGTATGCATATTAGCAGACTATTTAAAATTATATTTGTTTATTCTGCGAGCTTATCTCTTTTTTTGTACACAAAATAAGATAATATTTTATTATATTTTGGTTTATTTTGTTCCCTTTTTAAATTAATTATTATATTTGTTTTAGTTATTATTTTATTTATTATCCTATTTTTATTTGTTATTTTGTTTATTTTAGTTATCATAAATTTATTTCTTATTTGCATTTTTTATTTTAGATGCTATAACTTTAACAACGCCGAAATGGATCGATAATAGTGAAATAGGTCGCTATTTTTATAAATTCGAGGGCACGCGTTACGTACCAAATAAAATTCTGGCGAAACTTTAACCGCAGGACACCGCTATAACTGCGCAGCAACATTGCAGCAACATTGCAACGTTGCAGCAATATTGATGCATCGTCATGTACTAAATGTTTTTCTTTATTTCTTCTCGTATGTTTCCTTGTCCTTCAGTTTTTATTCTTTAATAATATATTCATAAGCCTTTCTTTTTAATTTTCTGTGCAATTCGTATTTCTTAATCTTTTGACAACATTTTTTATTAACATTATCAAAAACTGTTAATACATTGAGTTGATTCACAGACGTAGCAATATTATTGAATTATTCTTTACTCGCGTTATTGGTAGTAATGTAATAAAAACATATTGTATTAAGCATATGTGTCGACTGTTATATCTCACGGATTTATGTGTGGCAATTTTATTTTATTATCTGAACATTATCATCAATAATATCATATTAGTAAAAATATTGTGACTGGCAATTTTAATCCTAACCAACTGTAGATAAAACACAATACTTTATGATTTAGTTTCAGAATCGTGTAATTTGGTCAAAAAAAAATCGTAAGAAAATTAAAAAAATAGTATTTTGTAGGCAAAATGTAGTTTATGGAACTTGAGTTGAATTTTTCGAGAGAAATTTTTTTATTGTGCTGCAGAATGTCAAAAATACATAATTTCAAGGAACAAAACAATGGGTTCTTTTTTTAAACACAGGACAAGGAAGATAAAAAAATTTTTTAAATCCGACGATAGGGTTAAAGTTGAAATTTCAAGCTTCAAAATGCTTTTTTAATTTTTTGTCTACGAAGATCTTTCGTCGAGTTTCAGCGGTTTGAAAATTCCCCAATTTTTAGGATATGAAAAATGTTCCCTATTTTTTTTTTAGTAGTGTATATATAAACATATTTTATATTATATGTATATACTGAGAGTAACGTAAAGATAAAGACGGGAAATGATACGTTTTGAATTAATCAAAATTTTTCTCATGTTATGTGTTGTGAGACAGTGTAAACAATTACTTGGCTTATGGTACTATAAGTTTAGTGTATAAACATAATTATGATTTCAAATTAACAATTTTTTGGAAGATCTATTTTATTGCATGGAGGTTTTTAAACAATTAGTTTTTATTCTGTGAAATCTAATTAAATTTTTGAAATTAAAATTGGCATATTAGTTAATAAACATTTTGAAATATTTGTAAAATATTGTTATTTGACGAATAATAATTCACGATATATATAACGTAATAAACTTTCCTTGAAAACTATTAAGTAGAAATACTGACAGATAAGAGCCAAAACGCAGGTATTGCGCAAACTTATTAGTGTTAAATTTTATTATTATAACAAATGTGCATTAAAAATGTATGTTTTGGACCGTTTTTTGGTCCATCTTCAGTATGGATATAAAAATGTAAAAATTAAATTAGAGTATTAAAACTTGACATGCACCACATTTGTGTGTTTTGCAAATATTAAACTATTTTTCATGACAGTTTAGTTATGTGGTTTGTCATATTATATAAATCTATTTTTGTAGAATAGATTTTTGAGAAAGTTTCAATCGAAACAAACGTTATTTTAACGTGCATTTACATTGTGATTTTTTTTATCTATTTTTATCTGTTATTCTAAGGGCCGTGGCACATAAAAAAACTTGAGCAGTAAGACTTAAGACGTAAGCGAATTGACCAATCACGGTCGAACAGTAAGGCAGCCATATTGAAACGTAAGCTACGCTGAAAATTCCGTATGGTTGAAATTCTTAAGTCTTAAGGGGATCCTGAACTGACGGGCGAACTCCGATGGGTTAGCGCCCTCATCTAAACGTAACTAAAAGGGTCGATAATACCGACATTTTTAGTTCCGCCATTACCAATATAATTATTTAAAACATGCATAATAGAAAACGCAATCTTTTGCATTGTGTTCCATATATTGAAATAAGACAATATCACAATATATTTTTACCGCTTTATATACAATAATTAATTGATAAATTAACAAACTTTAATTCATGCGTGAGAGAGTATAATATACACATGTACGCACTAACATTATCGCAATTTCTAATATCTTCTTTCTCTGGATCATACGCTAATAATATTAATAATAATACGCTAATAAACGATATATAACGCGAGAGATTATAGATAAAGCGAGCCTCGCGAGCGAGACTTCGGAAGTCTTTCATGTTAGCTATCTCGCTTGCTCTTCATTCGTTCTCTCTCTCTCTTTTTCCCTGCTTGTTCTTTATTGTATTCTTTCATTCCCATTATTATAATTTTTTATCTATTCGACTTTTATTCTTTCTATTCTTGTTTTTCTACATGATAATAAATTAATTTATTCTGGTTTATTTTATACATATGACTTGCAGAAAATTTATAACAATCAACTATTGTTACGAGTCGACAACTGTAGACGCCATATTGTGATAAAAATAGATAAGAAAAACTGTAATTTTTAAAATTTTTGGAGATTTCAGCATAAAATTGATTGTCCCATAGAACATTAATAAATGTACTTTAATCATGTAAAAGCATTTGTAATTCTGTATAGCCATTACGAAAACTAGTACAATTAAAAAAAATGCGTTTGGTCGGTAAAACAGACATGTTCCTGGATCCCCTTAAGCGGTAACATGTTTAGCGTTTCTATTGTAAAAACATCCAGCGCGTCACAACCTGCGATAGCCTTTTCTTTGATCGGTAGTCGAGAAAAGCCATCAGCGTTGCCATGATTTTCTGTTTTTCTAAATTTAATGTCAAAATCAAAACCTTGAAGGAAAACCGCGTAATGTTGCATACGCATCGCGCTATACAGGGTGTTCCGGAACAACATAACCTAACCTTCCGTCCGTGAAATGACGTATTCCTGATACAATTCTAAGACGATTTTTCCTTTACCAAAATTTGAATTGAAGCGTAATTTTTGAGTTATAAGCAAAAATAGTTAGCAAATCACGCGTCG